TTAGCTGAGACGTTCCCACCAAAAACCGGCCGCTGAACGGGCCTCGTGATATCAGCAGGGTGGCTCCCTTGGGGATCCCACATGATGCCCCTCCCAAATGATGCCCCTGGCAGCGTTTTGTGATCATGAGGCTCTCAAGAGAGACATGGTGGGGAGGCCAAACGGCAATTTTAGCTGAGACGTCCCACCAAAATCGGCGCGAACGGGCTCGTGATATCAGCCAGGGTGGCTCCCCCTTGGGGCTCCCAAATGATGCCCCCTGGCAGCGTTTTGTGATCATGAGGCTCTCAAGAGAGACATGTTGGGGAGGCCAAACGGCAATTTTAGCTGAGACGTCCCACCACAATCGGCGCGAACGGGCTCGTGATATCAGCCAGGGTGGCTCCCCCTTTGGGGCTCCCAAATGATGCCCCTGGCAGCGTTTTGTGATCATGAGAGAGTGTGAGTGTGAGTGAATGTGACTGTGAGTGAGTCTGAGTGAGAGCGAGTCTCATCTTATCTTATCGATTCCTATCTTATCTTACCTTTATTACCCTCTATCTTATCTTATCTTGAAATCTCTTATCTTGTCTTAGCTTATCTTATATCAACTCATATTTTCGCATCATATCTTGTCTTATCTTATTATTCCATAGGCTGTCTTATCTTATATATTATCCTACCTTGTCATATATCTTATCTTACCTTATCATATCTTGTGCTATCTTATCTTATCTTGTAGTATATTATCTTGTCTTGTCTTATCTGGTGATTATCATTGAAAGGAGGGAGGCGCGAGCGGGAGGAAGGAGGAGCAGTGGGAGGCGTCAGAGTAATAACAAGAACCCCAATCCTTAGGATATGGGGAAAAAAAACACTGTCCCACTCCAGGAATGCGGTAACCCACGGTGGCCCCCGTTTTGAAGGTCCCGCACAGGAGCGAAAGGCGCCCAGTCACGCAGCTTTTTCTATAGTGCGGCTGTTTCGCAGATGATAGCTCGCCTGGCTGGGGAATGGTACCGCGCCATCTCGTCAACGATGGGGGGGGGGGGGGGGCATCAGCGGGACCAGTACGCTCGGGGGCGCCCAGGTGATCTGAGAGGTGAGGGGCTGCGTTTCAGTTTCCAGCTTCGTCTAACCGATCCCCCTCTTCACCGGACCATGGTTTCTCAGCGCCTCCACTGGCCCGCCCCGAGAGATGGGATAGGTTCCGTGAGACCCGAGGCTCGTCGGCCAGAGGGGCCAGGGCCGTGCCAGCGGGGAAGATTACTGGTGGAACGATGCGCACTGTCACGTGGCTAGTGTGTGCCAGCGTCGAGCAGAGGAGGGAGTGATGTCGATCCCGCCGCTCTGGTTTACCTGTTTTCGAGCTTTTAGCTTTTAGGTGTTCCTGTGAGCCCTCGTCGCCACGGCTGGGTACAGCTCGACAATCTGGCCCAACAAGCAGCCCTGGAGTTAATTCGGGCGTGTCCCTCTACAGTTCAAAAATAGTCAAAACATAGTCAGGGGGCGATTTTTCGATTATGCTTTGACTATTTTTGAGTATTTGTTGACTCTGTGTTATGTTTCGCCCAAATTCCGTCTGTAGGGGGACATGCCCGACATACCCTGGAGTCTCCTCGAAGTAGCGGCATCGGTATTTATGCTGTTGTTGGTTCGTCGTCCTCCCCCTTGGCCCTTCCCCAGGGCCGCTCGTTCCTAGTGCCCTTGGCCCTCTCTCCCAGTGCCCACGGAGTCGAACTCACTCGCCCGCGGTCGTCGACTTCGCTTGCGGTCGCTTGCGCCTCCGGTCATTTTCGCCAGGTCGTTTTCGCCCGGCCGATATGCGCCGCGCCGCTCTTGCCAGGCCGGACGGAAAAGGGGGGTAGGGAGAGGGGGGGGTACGAGATTTGCTGCATGCAGCTGGTCTCCGCCCCGCCGCCGGGCCCATTCCTCGAAACATGGGCGCCTCACGGCGCGAGGAGGCGCCAAAAAGACCGGCTTCGTGAGCTGAATCTCTACCCTGCCCTTTTCTATCCTGCCCTTTCGTCCCCCCCGATGTTGCCCAGTCGCGTCTGCCCGCGACCCTTCTCGCCAGTTCGGCTCCGCTCGGGCGCGACTACGACAAGGATAGAGCCGCCCTATAGCGTTCGGGAACTGAACGCTCTGAGAAGGCCGCGGCGCCCGAGACAGCCTCCAGAGCCGCCGGAACTCCAATACTCTCGATTCGTCCTCACCGTATACCCGATGTTGCCCTCGTCCTGGCTTCGGCCTGCTCGCTCGGTCGCCCTCGCCCAGCCGCGTTCGCCCCCGCGCCACCGACCTCGCCGACCCAGCGGCACCTCTCCTCGTCTCGGGCCGGACGAAAGGGGGGGATTGGGAAAGGGGGGGTTACGAAATTAGCTGCATGCAGCTGGTTTCGGCCCCACCGAGGGGCCCATTCCTCGATACATAGGCACCTCCGGCGCCGGAAGGCGCCGGGAAAATCAGCTACGTCAGCTGATTCTCAAACCCCCCCTTGGCTATCCCCCCCTTTCGCGCGACCCGATCGTCCCAGGGCCGAGGGCAGCGCGTGGGCCCCCTCCGGGGCAGAGGCGGGAGGCTCGGAGCTCCCGGGCGGGGCCGCGGGGCGGCGGGTGCGTCGCACTCGGGGAGCGCGCCGCGAGCGCGGCCCGCCCCCGCCACGCGCCGCGCGGAGGCGCCCCACCTCGCCGCGGGCGCGCCGCCCTGGGAGGGCGCGGCGGTGCTGCAGAGGCGGCTGAGGGACGAGGAGGCCGCCGGCGTGGCGCGGCCGCCGGGGCCCGCTCGCCAGGAGGAGGAGGGGGAGGAGGAGGAGGAGGAGGAGGAGGAGGAGGAGGAGGAGGAGGAGGAGGAGGAGGAGGCGAGGAGGAGGAGGAGGAGGAGGAGGGGAGGAGGGAGGAGGAGGAGGGAGGGGGAGGAGGAGGAGGGAGGAGGGAGGAGGTTTGGAGGGGAGGAGGAGGAGGAGGAGGAGGAGGAGGAGGAGGAGGAGGAGGAGGAGGAGGAGGCGAGTATGTCGAAGCCTCGTTAAGATCCGCGCGACCCTCACCAGAGGGTGGTATGAGAGGGCGGAAGCACCATAGATACCTCTGGTAATCCAAATAGAGCACCTCGACCGGCCACGGCCGCGCGCCCCGGCAGCGCGCTGCGGCTGAGCTGCGCCGCGCCGAGAGGCCGTCCAGCGCTGGTGGCCGCCGCCGGGCCAGTCGGGCCAGCTGCAGGGGCCCCCGGGCCCGGTGCCGCCGTGTGCGAGGGAGTCGCCGTCCGCTCTCCGCGCCGCGCCAGGTCGCATGGCCGCGGCGCGCGGCAGCCAGCCGCCGGCCGCCGCCCGAGCCGCCGCTCGCCCCTCCAGCGTCTCCAGTAGCCCCCGTGGGCCGACACGGGCTGCTGGGGTCGCCGCCAGCCCCACGTCGGCCCCAAGCGGCTGTCGGCGCCGCCCTGCGCTAGCCCCGCCGCGCCAGCGCGGCGTCAGCTCGGAGGAGGAGGGGGGGAGGAGGAGGAGGAGGAGGAGGAGGAGGAGGAGGAGGAGGAGGAGGAGGAGGAGGAGGAGGAGGAGGAGGAGGAGGAGGAAGAGGAGGAGGAGGAAGAGCGACAGGAAGGCGTATACCCGTACATGAATCCGCGCTGGTTTTCGAGAGTGCGCATTGCGCGAACGTTTGTGTCACGCGGCCGTGCTCATGTACATGGTTGGGCGCGTGCGTCCTTTGCGTGCTATCTCGGTCGTGTGTTGTTTGGACTTTTTTTGCCGGGCCGATGACAAAGGTCATCTGGGGGAGAGAGGGGCGGGGGGAGGGGGCCGATGACGTCACGTTTCGCGCCAGCGGCGTCTGGGAATGCCCAGGAACGACCGAGGACAGATAGCAGCAACATGTAGGTGGCGATCTGCACCACAGCGCCTGTGTACACCACAGTGCCTGCGTTCACCACAGCGCTGGTGTACACCACACCGCTTATGTACACCACAGCAGCCGCGTGTAATACAGCGCCAGTGTGTGCCACACTGCTTGCGTGCACCGCAGCGTTGATATACTCTACAGTGCCTGTGTACACCACATCAGCCGTGTGCAACACAGCAGCAGTCTACACCACAGTGCCTGCGTGCACCACAGCGCCTGCGTACACCACGGCGTCTGTGTGCACCACGACCGTGTGCAACAGAGCATCATTGTTGCATACAGGATGTATAAGGCATCTTTATGGAAAAATGGAGTGGGTTCCGCCTATGGAAAAATAACGTTGGTGGAATCTACGAGTCTTTCCGAGTCGTCCCGCATCATCGTAAGTCTTCCCGCGTGCGTTCGGGAGGCACCCGCGGAATTGGCCATTCGAGAACCAAGTGGACTGGTTCAATAAACCATTCTGCGGTACACACTGAAATGCGCACGTGCGCTGTAGCGCTGACCTGCACGACGGGGGGAAGGGTGAGGGAGGAGGAGGAAGAGGACGATGAGGGAGAGGAGGAGGAAAAGGAGGTGGGAGGAGGGACAAACATCGCATTCTATTATCAGCACTCCCTTGGCGAGGTGTTTAGCAGTCCGCAGCAGGTCCTCAGTGACATGCTCCATCTATCTGTCCAATGCACGCAGGTACTGTGGTGTACACCAGCTTTCGTTTCACGCGGGCGCTGTGGTGCACAGTGCGGTGTACGCAAGCGCAGTGGTGCAGATCGCCACCTACATGCTGCTCCTACTTGTCCCTGGTCATCCCTAGGCATTCCCGGACGCCGCCGGCGCGGAACGCGACGTCATTTTTTTTGGGGGGGGGGCGGGGCAGGTGACGGCTGGTATCCCAGAAAACCCAAACAAGGGCTCTAGAATGTTGCCCCTGGCCCAAGGTGCCCCCAGGATTTCCAAGGAATCCCCAGGGCATCCAGAGCATCCTTCAGGAGTCGGGCCGCGCGAAAGGGGGAGGATAGGGAAAGGGGAGGTACGAAATCTGCCCGATGCAGCAGTATTGCGCGCCGCCGCCAGGCCCATTCCTCGATACATGGGCGTCCCTTCCTGCGCCAGGAGGCGCCAAGAAAACCAGCTATGTGAACTGATCCTCCACCCTGCCCTGTGCTATCCTACCCTGTCGCCCCCCCCCAACGAGGTGCAGGGTTCCCCGCGCTCACAGGCTGGGCGGGTGCCTCGCGACCACCTGCGGACCCCCTCTTTCATCGCCCTCCGCACCGCCTCCGGCGGTGGAGGGGGCTGAGGGTTTGATGGAGGGCGCGCACTGTGAGTGCCCTCCCTGGAACAAAAAACGTCCGACGATGTTCGCCGGACGCGGCATGCACAGCTGCCGACATCGCCCACAGGGCGTGGAATGGGCATCCGCGGTCGCTCCAGAAAGCAAGCGCGTCCAACGCTGATCGTCGGACCTGGCAGCGCGCCCAGGGAACTGAAGAAACAAAAGGTGAAAGCCTGCCTGGCCCACCAGGGCAAGGCGGGGCGGGTGTTGTCTCGGGGCAACCCCAGCACAGGACTCGACCCACGACTCCACGATCCACCCAGACAAATATGGAGCAGGCCCCAAAATGTCTGATCGGTGCCGCTTTCTCCGCCCTGAGGGATGCTGCGTGCTGGTTCTAGCCGGCTACGCGCGAGAAGAAACAACATGTGGGTCCTGCCTGACACCACCAGGGCAAGGCAGGGCGGGTGTCTCGGGCCGCCGTCGGGTTCGAGGAGTGCCAAGTCCTCGGCCCGAAACAGAGCTCGGGTATAGCCAAGGCCCCAGGTAAGGGGACCCGGTTAGTGGCAGGGCCCTGGAACCCTTAAATTGATGGGAGTCACTAAACCAGGTTTGCCGTAGCTTTTGTTTTTCGGGTGACGGCAGTTCCGGTTAGTGGAGCGGGGCGGGGGGCCGTCCCCCAGGACACATCACTAAACCAGGTCCCACCAAACCCAGTTCTGCCAACGCCCGAAAAGCCACCACCTCCCCAGGCAATCTTCACAGGGTGTCTGCCCGCCAGCGAACGGTTTCGGCGGGCCTTCGCACCGTGCCTTTCGGCTCCTTCGGACACGGCGTGAGAGCAGGCCGCGCGCACGAGCAGCTGAAAAGGCCCCACACTCCCTGCAGAACGTGTAGTGGCCAACTGGGGACAGCTTTTGTCGCCTCGGCCCCTCGGTGGGGACCCCATCAACACGAGCCTGCTTCCTCCATCGATCATGCGAGGAGAGCCCCCGACGGCAACACTTGCGGGACAGCACAGCCTTCGCGTTATCATTGGGCCCGCCTGGCACTATCAATACATCTCCAGGAGCCACGGTGCCACTGGAGCGAGTGCCAGACTCGGGGGGGTGAGTGCTCAGCACGCCTTGGGCGGGGCCCTGGAGGGAGAGAAGCATTCTCGGCGCGGCCAGTGGTGTCAGCAAGTATATGTGACTTGCGGACACCCAAGTATCTGTGACTTGCGGAGGAACCTGGCAAATGCTCGCTGTTGCGTTGGCCTGGAGGTCGGCCGCCTGATTCCCTAGATAGTGGCACAGCTGAAAGCTCGTCGAGTTGCGCTGCGCCTGACTCGAAACTTGACGGCAACGAGCCCCCCCCCAAAAAAGTAGTCTTCGACCACATTCCACATCGCATGCCAGAGGTCAGCATGGGGGCATCTAGCCTGGCGACACCACGTCGGCCCCCGTCGCAAGCATCTGACCACGGTGACACTATCGATTCCTACCTGGATTGGCGCCGTGCCGCGGCGCAACGCATTCAGGAAACCAAGTAGCGCGGTCCTGAAAACGCTTCGGGCTTGGCGGGCCCCTGGGGCAGTCCCACGCATCGCTTCTTGGACATTGGCATGGTCATCAACAAATGCAAATCCCCAACCGAACGCCTTAAACCCAGGGCCCACCACTCCAGATCCGTCTGACTACTAGGCCAGTCCAGCAGACAGAGGAGGGTCGCCCTCAAACTCGGGATTGAGGGCTTCCGGCACTGGGCGCGACGCCCAGGAAACGGCCCCCCAGCGGGTGGGAAACGATGGCCCCGGAGAAGAGGCGGAAGGGTCCAAGATGGCCGCGCGGTGGGCGATCGCGGGAAGCTCCTCTCCAGCAGATGCGCGCTGCTCAAAGCTGGGCACTGGCAAAAACGAGGATGCGGATTTCCTGTTTCATCTCCACGTCTCTGGCAGCTGCGATCGCCCGAGCGGCCTGCCTTCCAGACTTCGTTCCGGGTCCAAAATTCTACCCCGGAGGAAGGCCAACGTCGCGGACTGCTTCTGCCCACCTCCCCTCTTTTCGGAGCGACCAGCTGCGCGGCCAGGCTCGAGGGATGGCCTGCGAAACGGCAGGCCGCGGATCGTAGCCCACTCGGTGAGCTCCTGGCCCTCGAGCCGAAGGTAGATACACTTGCGGAGGGTGCTGGGCGTCGTTATGCGCGCGTCGACCAGCTTCCCCGCGCGCAGCCGAAATGCGCACCAGCAGGGCCAGGGCCACCCCGGGCGCTGGAGCGTCAGGCTGCAAGCCGCGGCTGGCCCTCGGATCTGGCTCCGAGGGCGGTCGCGCGGGCGGCTGCGCCCGGCGGCTTCGAGAGACATCTCTCGTCGACAAGTCCTGGCCATATCCAGTTCACGGGTGAGTGGCCCACGTGCCTAGCGGCTACTGCGAAGCTTCTTCGACCGTGCTCGCGTGATGGGCCCAGAGCCTCGATCGACTCTGTCGCGCCCTATGGCATTGCCGCCAAGACCTCCCGAGACCGCGACGCGCATCCTGGCTGGGGCGACAGGTCAACGAGGAAACCGCTCCTTGTCTGACAGCTCGGGACAGGCGATCTCCC